TATTACTCAAGTAAAAGTAAAGAGTAGTCACCAAAATATTTACTTGAGTAAAAGTAAAAAGTATGTTGTGAAAAAACTACTCAAGTACTGAGTAACTGATGAGTAACCTGTTCGTTTAATGATGACGGCAACAAATAATGCACAAAAACATAAAAATAGCAATGAACAAATTCAGAGCCAAGAATATCTCTTAAGCAACTAAAACAATAATAAATTAAATAATAATACATTAAAATTGTCGCGAAGCGCTCGTTGTTGCCATTGTGTTCTGCTTCTTTGCTGCCGGTGTTTGCCGCTGAAAGTTCGTGTGCAGTTAGTCATGTGACCGCCTGGCTCTGTTTGATTGGTGAAACGGAGTCAAACGTCACCAGTGACTGCATTTGATTGGTGAAACGCAGTCATGCGCTGGATCCTACTTTGGAGGTCTCTGACAAACCAAAACAAACAAAGCGTGCATTAACAGATCGATAAAAATATCTAGCGAGTAGCGAGCGTAATGTAGATAAATGGAACGGAGTAAAAGTAGCGCTTCTTCTTCACAAATATACTCAAGTAAAAGTAAAAAGTATGTTGCATTAAAACTACTCTTAGAAGTACAATTTATCCCAAAAGTTACTCAAGTAAACGTAACGGAGTAAATGTAGCGCGTTACTACCCACCTCTGTGCATTTTTGAAATAATAAATAACACAATCTTCCTCTTAAACAATAAAACAAAACCTCTTTTCCAGGGGTTTTGTTGCCACAGCTGTACTTGGTCTGGTATGACCAGTAGCTAAGCTAATATTAGCAAACTTCAGATGGATATTTCTGCAAAACTGAGTCACTACATTTTACCGTTTACCATAGTTGCCTCTTTTTGCCACACTGGCTGGGGATTTGAGTGTTTTTCCACCACTAAGCACAATTTCCATTACCTTGATCCCAAAGCTGTCAGTGATGACTGCCAGGTCTTGAATGTCCACTGCAAACGGCTCATGACAGTACAGGTGTGGCTTTGTTTTCATTTCCGCTGAGTATTATCACTGTCTGGCTGAGAAGAACAGAAACACAGAAGTGATGCTAAAAAATGCAAGGTAAACAGAAATGTTGATGTTGTGAGAAATAGGATGGTAAAAAGAAACTTTTTTTTTTGTAAACACAGGGAAGAAGCCAAATACAGGAAGTGAAATCTTAATGTTAGATATAGCTTCTCCAGCAGGGAAACGCCCGTCAGACGTGGTTAGAGGTCATGGTGGAAAACGCCTGTTGGCTCCTGTTGCCTAGCAACCTTGACAACACGTAACTTTTTTTCATAAAAACTTGATTTTTTTTTTTTTTAAGGCTCTTGGTTTTAACAGTTGTGCCGTTAGCTTTTGAACTGAGCTGAAACATAATACTTACATTTCAAAAGTGTAATCCTCAAGCTCTCTGTCGGTGTTGTTTTCTTTCATTCCCGGGCCCGCAATGAATCTTGGGATAGATTGGATCCCTCGTTACCCGGAAAACGAAGGCCGCACCTCTCGGCCGCATTTGAAGTAGTCTTTCGTGGCCATGCTACTAGCTAAGAGTCCGAGCCTGTATACAAGCTAAGAAAAAAAGGTCACCATGAAGATGCTAACATGCTGATGTATAGCAGGTGTAACGACCACGTTCACCATCTTAAATTAGGCGTGCTAGCATACTAGCATCTGCTAATTAGCACTAAAGATCAAGAAGAGGTGAGGCCGGTGGTAATTTTAATAGTTTTGCAGGTATTTGGCTAAAGTATCTGACAAAAGATGGAGATGGATTAAATATGAGTGGATTTCCAAAGTTATTACAGCTCAGCCTGAGGAGGACAAGAATGTGTGGACCAAATCCCATCAAGTCCTCCTACTCTAGAGACCGCTTGTCCCTACCCCGGATATAGGGTTGCCACCTTTTATGTGAAAGGGCTCCTCACATTGTGATAGTGAGTCATGTGATGACCATAGTTTTCTCAACTGATGCCCATCCATCCACTGTACCACAGCACATGATGTAAGCAGCAAGAATAAAATAAATCACAAAGCGCAAATTAATCCTTACACACAGTAACAGCATTGTGCCCAATGGAAACTATTTACATTTTTTTACCTGGGAAACAGTCAGTGTCCAGCCTTTGCACTGCGTTCATTTTAACTTTCCATCTTGGTGTTTAACAGCTGAAATTAAGGAGTTTGTAAGACCTTTTTAAGGCCACCGTGAGTGCAATTTAAGAATATAATTAAAAAGATGAACATAAAAGTTGAAGATATTTATCATGCAGAAAGTTGAACAAGAAAGAGCAGAACTGATGACACAATCACGGAAGATTGCACCGGTAGAGGATAACATTAAATTTCTTCATCTCCTTGTTCTGTGACCTCCTCCTGCTCTCTTCAGCATACTGTCTTCACCTCCTTTTTCATTTCTCTCCTTCTCTTCCTCCTGTTCAGTCCTCAGCATTTTCTTGCTAAAACTTTTACATTTCCTTTCCATTTTTAATCCCTCCAGCTACTCTGGCCTGCAAGAGTCAAGATGTGAAAAGCTCTGGTTAAAATCCTTGTATTGTATTACACTGTGGGGCCATGTAGCTAATAAGTATAACAAATGTAAAATCTAAAAAGATTTATCACAGATATGTTTAGACTACTTAATCCCATTGTATTTGTTATTTTCCCAGTTTGACAGTGAAGGATGTGACCTGGTTTAATTCGCAGCCTCGTTGCTGTGATATGTGAGAGTAAGTGAAAACGGCGACACTAGCCCCCCTGTAGATCCACCCCTGACACGACCCAAGCTCTCCTCCGGTGACCGACGTCCACACCTGCCTGTGTGTATGTATGCATGTATGTATGTGTATATATATATATATATATATATATATGTATGTACATATATTCATGTATGTACATCATACTGATTAGCGTGAATGTGTCCACAAATCTGCAAATATGTACACTACAATGTTTACAAACATATATATCTATATCTACATATAAATCTGAATGTACAGACTGAGAAACAATTTCACAATTTTCTCCACATTTGCAAATAACATTGCTACAGTAACGACCCCACACACACACGAGGCTTTAAAATAACAAAGCATTATGTTGATATGAAGAGAGCTGAAGACATAATTAAAGGGTCATTTTGTAAAAGCTTCTGCACCATCACGATCATCACATCTGGGAGGGGTCAAACCGAGGAGGTGTAAATTACAGCAGCAGAGCAGCCTCCCATCAAACACGGTCAGCGGTGCACACAGATGTTTTACTACACACAGTTATGTGTGATGTTTAAAATTAGACCTCACTCCTTCCAATGCAGTCGTTAGAAACATGAGCCAAACACAACACACTCTGTGACGTTTGACATAAGCAGATTTATTGTTGTTGCTGTGTGTGTGTGTGTGTGTGTGTGTGTGTGTGTGTGTGTGTGTGTGTGATATTACATCAACATGTGGTGGTGCGAGTCCTCCGCTGGACTGTCCATCCATGTGAAAGTGTTCAGGTCTGCGCAGGAGAGAACGCTGCACTGATGATTTATGTCTGAGCTGAAGAAGGTGATCGGTGAGAACAGGTTCATGTCATTTGGCACTGTATGTACACACGTACCCAAGTATTATTATTTACACACACTCGTCTCTCAAACACACTAACTCCAAGTCCCTAACACTTTAACTGTGAGACCATCATAAAATCTAAAAAAAAAAAAGAAAAAAGGCCACAGAGCACCTCCTCCCTCCCACACACACTCACCCCTCCCAACACGTCCTGCTGTCAGATTTCCCTGTGACGGCTCAGCTCGGCTCGGCCCGCCTCTTCCTGTGAAACAGTGACGGCAGATTTGTGACTCCGTCCTCTGGAGTCTTCCACCCACTCCCACAGCTGTGCAGGGAGGGCACAGTGTCACAGCAGCTAGTCACACTCTGTGCCTTAAAACCCACTGTTTTTATAGCCTTTATTTACTCAGGGTCGTTTCAACCTCTGTTTTTACTCCCAGCACAACCCCAGTGCGAGCCGCCGGGCAGCTAGAGGTGATCTTTCATTTAACATGTGAGAATGCTTCAAGGCAGTGACCGCAGTGCTGGCTAAACAGCATTTAACACGTGGGGTTGTCTCTGACTGAGGGGTTGATGATATTTAATGTTTCTCTCACTCGTCGTGTTATAAATTCAACAAAAAGACCAAAACCAGCAGTGAACTGATCTACTAACACGTACTGTGTGTGTATCCGAAGCCTGATAATATGCAAAGTGCGAACTCCCCTCAACAAGACGTGGGCTCCCCTGAAAACATGATTTGTGAAATTTTGGGAAGGTCTCTAAAAAAAATCAAAGACTAGCACTTTGCTGGTTTTGGTTTTCACATGTGATTTCCAACCTTAAAGGGTTCAGAGACTCAGTTTGGGCGGGAGTGGGGATGGGGGGGGGGTGCCCTGCGATCCAGATGAAGAGAAGGGAGTGCAATCGGAGCATACAGTAACACACGCACACACAAACACGACAAAAGAAAATTTAAATCTTTACAAGACTTGACTCTTAATATTCTCTGTGCAAAATGAAGGTAAGACGTCTATTGCTTTAGTAAATGTTAGTAGTACCACAACGTCATCAAAGCCACCTTCAGGAAACATGTGCTGTTTAATAATCCTGTGAATTTGAAGTTATCTGAGGAGTGAGATTCAGCTGGTTCAGTCCTGTCGGTGCATAGTTTAGACTAAAAAGGGCTTTTTTTTGTGTTTATAAAAATATACAAATATAAGTCAATGTCTTGCTCTGTACAAAGAGTGAGCGGTGCTTTTATGTGTTTGGAGTTACGAACTTCATCAGAGAGTTTTCTGCTAGCTCTACTTTCTCTCTCTCTCTCTAAACAAGGAGTCCAGGCTTCGCTGCTCCTCCAGCGACTGCCGCTGCCATGAGCGAAGCACACGGATGAAGAAGAAGAAGAAGAAGAATGTCTCTGTGGTAGGCTTGAATCTTCACTGTATAAAGGCACCCCCCCCCCCTCCTTGGACACAGTCTAGTTCATTTCACTTGTGTTCTCAGTTGTGCACTGTGCAGAGGGATGAGTGTGTTCAGTCCGCCGTCCTCCAGGGATCTGTTAGTCGGACCGGTCCTGCCGAGCCCTGTGCTGAGGGATCAGTGGACCCCCCCGTTGTAGGACTTCCCGTACATGTTGAAATCTGTTTCTACGAAGTGCGTAGAGACCGGCTGCTTGTACAGAGGGTTGGAGGCCTGAGAGTGAGAGAGGAACACCTTTCATTACGAGCCTCAGATTTTCACCTGACATGAATATTCTGGTGCATGTGTGTGTGTGTGTGTGTGTGTGTGTGCTTTTGTACACGAGCAAGACATTTGACTATACTTTGTATATTTTTTATAACACAAAAAAACAGCCCTTTTTACGTCTAAACTATGCACCGAAGGACTGAACCAGCTGAATCTCACTCCTCAGATAAACTTCAAATCACAGGGATTATTAAACAGCACATGTTCCTGAGTGGCTTTG